AAGAAATTTCTTATAAAAATCTTTACAAAATGTATTTAAATAGTAAACCAAGTTTCATATCTTTCAACTTTACATTATATTGAATCTTTAACTATTTATCATAATGAATGCATCGCAAATAACATCCTCATCAAATTTTTTTATTAGTCTGGAGTGATTATAATATAATATATGTTCAGAGTCTTCCTTAATTATTGGCAACACACATATACCCCACATACACAACTGTTTGAATCAAAGACTTTTAGAGAGAACAACATTCCCCTTAATCACTGAGACCACTTGATGATTCTCCTAATCTAAATTTTTAAGTTCATGTTTCCAAACGAATGCTAAAATAAAACAAAAAGTGTGCCCTATGCTGCAATTGTCAATAGTGGCATTATAACATTGAGGCATATATATTGCTAGATTCATACAAAATCTCTAGTCATCCCAAAGCATTCAAATACACAGAGTCCATCCAAGGCTTGAATGCACCTTAATGGGCAGTATTCTGACAAACATGCACAAAAACATATTTAGAAGCTTTGCTAATACATGGTTAGAAAAGCACAAGATTAGTAGTTTATGCCATTACACCAATGAACCTATCTATTTACCCGGACCTAGGTGAATGTTGGATATGATTGTGTCCAAGACAGATATGCTCAGTGAGAGAGGCATGATTTTGGGTTAGGGATGTGAATTTAAAATGTTATATTTGAAATTTAAGAGGTATGAAATTAAATCATCAATAGAAAATATAAAGAAAATACTTAAATTATATGAGAATTTGATATTTTCAGGGCACTACTACACCTAGTGGTGTGCAAAAATATCCCATCCGAACAATCTAATCCATTTATCCAATGATCCGATCCAAATATTCGAATATCCAGTCTGATTTTTTTCCTGATAATTTGGATCGTATATCCGTTTAAAAGATCAGATATTTGGATCAAATAAAAATAGGAAAATATTGATTTCGGAAAATAATGGGCCTTTAGCCTTAGGCCCATTTATTCTATCTTTCAGGGGAGGTTTTCTCAAATCCCAGCTTTAGCCGTTCTTCATTGCTCAATCACCGCTCACAGCTTCAGCTATATATTCATCGCCTAACCTGCTTTCCTCAGTTTTCTTATGCTTTGTGATGGTAACCACTTGACAATGGATGTTTTAAACTAACATTGATACTACATCTGATATCTATATGGGTTATTTTATGCCATTCTAAGCAGAAAATCAGCATTGATAATGGAATTAATGTTTTTCCTGATTAAATTTGAAATTCGAAAAAGAGGAGACAAAAAATATATATATATATATAAATTTTAAATAAATTACATATTCGAACAGAATATTCGGATATTTCCGGACAGGATATTCAGATATTTTCGATCCGAAAATTCAGATATCCAATTATTCCAGATTGGATTCAGATAATTGTTTTGACGATCTGAATTTTCGTATCGGATCGGAATCGATATCCGAATTTGCACACCCCCTAAACGCACCCCAACAGCCCCCTGTTCGTCCTGGGTATACTTGATTCTTCTACGTTTTTCTTGTATTTATAAGAACATATCCCATACTCATTTTTTAATATATGACTAACATGTGTACTTTAAGAAAAATGAAGCTGCAGTCTGAAACTTGGATCAGATTGCATTATGCCCTTTTCCTCCTTCAAAATCCACCCTATCTTCTCCCCAGCTCTGGTTTTTCTAGTAAAATATATTAGCATCTGAGAGGGGCATTTTAGCAAGATGAAAATGAACATTAGAAAATGCACTATGACATGAAATACTCACCATCAACCAAAAAAACCCACGTAAGAGACAAAAAATTTTACGTTGATCGCAACTGAATTCATCGACTTTCCCTTTTAAGTCTGCAAGAGTCTTTGCTTAACAAAAACCATGGAATAGAAGCTTAATAATCGACAAAATCATGAAAAAGAGAATGTAAGAACAACAACTCAAATTACTTGCAGAAACAATTTATTCTATGACAGCTGCACTTTAAGGAATACCAGAGAGCAATCTTATACCGGTAAACATAAAATCTTATTCCACGGCAGTGGAAATAACAAAACCAAAGAGACAAGAAGAAATCACCAGAAATTTAGGTGAACGAATTCATGATTCCGGATCATCTAGTATTCAGTAGCATACTAACAAAGGACACGATCACATTACTCTTCTTAGACGTAGTAAAAATAATTTTGCTTCAGCCGTTTAATAGAACCACACAACCTATAAAAGGATACTTCTAGACAGAGGCAATCAAGGTATACAAAATAATGATGCAATGCAAGACACAACAGAATCACTTACCTTCATACCAATCAAGGTACGATTTTCCATCAGTGTTAGTTGAATATAGTTTCGATATTCAACAGCGTAACTCCCTAACACCTTGCACTGGTCTTTTATGGGTCACTTGTTGCATAGACTTTCAAACTCATGTTGGTCATAAGGAATTTGAAGAAGATCCATAAGCTTCTCCCTGAACTGAGACTGAGCAGAGGTTACATTGCCATCCCAACTATCTTCATCAACCTTTTCCGAAAACAAGCACATACATACAAAATTAAAAAATAATCATATAACAGTCGCATTTAAAAAAGAAAAAAAACTTTCAATGACATATAGATAAGGTTAGAGCCTATTAAACTGTCTTGGCAGAGAGAAAAAATTAGAATAGATGAAACAAAAAGTTGAAAAAAGATATGCTTACCAATGATCGGTAACATTTTGATGATACATATGGTATATCTTGTCCTTCATGAAAAGTATCATCATCCAATGCAAGTATCTCCAAATCAGAACCACCTTCATCATCCGTCTGATGTACACTTGTCTTATCACTTTCATAGCTAAAGCTTTCTATATCCTTTCCAGAATCCATCTTCTTAAAAGGTTCTCCACTTACTTTGTTCCCATCAAGTAGACCCTTTCTTTTCCCACTGGCTGCATTTCTTATTCTCACTTCCTTCAATTCTAACCTTCGAACACTTCTTCACGGTTTTCGGCATCCTAGTTTGCGGATTCTTAGCCTTCACTCTTTGATGATCACTCTTGAAATCCCTCATCCTTTCCACATTCTTAAAGGACCTTTCTTCGTTTTCTTCTATAACCCGCCCGCCCGAGCTAGATATATATTCAACCGAGGATGATTCCCCAATCATATTATCATCATAGCCAGGCTTTAAACTACTAATATACAGTTCATATTCCACGTCCAACAACACATCTTCTTTCATGTCAATTACATTATAATGTTATTTTATCCCCTCCTTATTTCCCATACTATTACTACGCATATACAGTTCATAAACTGCATCCAACTCCAAATTTTCTTCCATATCAATTGCATTATAATGTTTGTTTATTCCCTCCTTATTCCCCCCACTATTACTGCCATAGCTAGGCCTAAATTCTTCCAACATGCTGCATCAAATTCTTGAACGGATTACCAAACCCTAAATTCACCAAAATACTAACTGTTTTGCTCTCGGCCTATGAAGTAGTCAACAAGGTAGCTGCATTATAAATTTTTTAAACTGAGATTAGATCATATAATCTTCTATCAGAAGTGGGTTATCAATCCGCAGTCCATAGAAGCGAACGGCGGCTGCAAATTTCCGCTAAAGCGATAGCTTTCTTAAAGAAAAATCGATGAAACAGAGTAACAAGCAGTACAGTCTAAAAAATAAATCATTCTTCAACGTTAAATTTAGGGCTTCAAAAATTACCTTATTTTTGTTCCCTGGTTCTGTCCTAAACTTGAAGGCAAAGAGAAGACTTTGAGTCAGAAGATAAATACTAGGGTGGGACATATTGTCTGGCGGAAGCAGCGGCGGCGATGTACGAAGAAGGATGAGAGTAGCTGTATGTCCTGAACTTTTAAAGGAATGTAGAATGTTTTCCCGCGAATTCTCTGGGCTTCAATCTGTTAGGTATCTTAACTATGGGGATTATGTCAGTTTGATCCTTTACTGTATAGCTTCATTCATTTTAGTCCCTATATGCTGGAGATTGATTTTAATTAGTAATTTTATTATTAAGGGTAAAATATATAGTATCCACCCAACTATAACTCCTTTTCATTTTGATCACCATTTTGAATTCTTGTCAACCGACCACCCAACTATTTAAATGCTTTAAATTAAGTTACTAGTTGTTAACGGTTAACATAAGTATCACATGGCAGTTAGTAAAATTGGGAAAATTACATATTTAGTTACTGTTATTTATATATTCTATTAATTTGGTCATAATTTTAACAAATTAAATAAATTTAATCTTCAAATCAAATCATGTCACGTGTTACCATTTGATCGGAGGATTTTACTATATTTTAATTTAATAATTATATTTCTCCCCAATCAGAGGTGACACGTGTGGAAAGAAAATTAAAGAAGTTGAAACGTGGGAGCAAGGGAATTAAACTTGCGACTTTTGGGGTGGAAGGCAGCAGTCTAATAACTAACCAAGCAAACCCTTTGGATTTAAACGTACTACAAATTCTATTTATACTGAGTACTAGTTTAATCTTAAATTTTTATTATTTTATATATCTTAAATTAAATTCACATATTAACTAAATTAACATATAAACATTAAAAATATATATTTTATTCTTATCTTAACTTTAAAATATATTTTATTCTTATTTTAACTTAAAAAATATATTTTATATATCTTATAAAATAGATTAAATAATTTTTAGTTTACGAATACATCAGTTATTATTATTAGGATATTTGCTTTAAAGGTATATTTTTTATGGTATCAGGAGTCTTTTCTTTAGAGGTTTAAAACTTCTCTAATGAGTCTAGAGTACAGGCCTCCCTTTGATGAGTTCCAAACATTCACCATAGGATATTTCGTGAGGAAGAAACCTAAGCAAAGGGAAAGACCCGCTAGAAGCTAAGATGGTTTTCCTACGAATCATCTGATATCTCGAAGCTACGGAGAAACATCTAAACTACATGCTAAAAGGGAACCTCCTTAAATCACCAATGTCACCATTTGGCTCTTCACTAGGATAGAGAATCAGTAAAACACAGAAGACATAAAAATTTTGAAATCTAATCCTTCACCCAAACTGGTTTGATAAAAAAGTAATAGAAAGCCAACACCCATTCTGATCTCAAGCCTCTTGAAGCATGATATACATATGAATCTGAAATGCAGTTCTCCAAGTTTCTTAAGACATAAAAGGTTAAGGTAGAGAAGGTAAAATGGATAATAAATGATCATTGACCTGTATAGAGTATTTTGTCCCACTTGCTCCAGTAGTGCTGATGTTTCAGAAACAACCCTTTCAACAACCTTTATGCAAGAGCGATCCAAATAATCAGCTGCCAACCTTGCAATCAACGATGATGTGGCTGGAGCAATTTCTGATGGCTTTAAGACTACAGCATTACCAGCTGCAATGGCTCCAATAACTGGACCAAGAGACAACACTGAAAGAACAGATACAATTATAGTCATCATTCATATAAATTTAAGAATTAGAAATTAGAAAAACAAAAGAACTGAAGAAAATCTTTCATTTCACAAGGCTAGCAAGAGATTATTCAATAGAAAGTGGCATCCTTTCTTTCGTGGAAAAGATGCAAGATCAAGATAGTTTGCTAGGGCTTTACCCTTCTCTCTTATACGCTATGGTTCGGATACAATTTCAGCAGAAGAAGGAAATGTAATCAATGAAGTTTTTGCCTGCAAAAAAGGGCATGTTTATATACCTAATTGTTAGAATGTCATAAATGCTACATGTGTTCACCGAGATTTCATGATAAAGCTAATTGTTAGAATGTCATAATGCCACATGCGTTCACCAAGATTTCAAGTCTGTCACGTATTTAAACACTTCTTATCACACCACGAGGAAAATAAGTGGGGGAAAAGGAAAGTTGGGCCACTCTAGTTCACAAAAGTTCCCAACTGTTTTCTTCATGAGTTTCATGATTCTCAACTTGAAAGCTTGACACGAAATAAGGTCTCGCACAGAATTCATCTATGATATTAAAGCAGATATATGAAAAATTAGATAACCCCCAAAAATATCAACAATTGGCTTTAAGAGACAAAGAAGTAGTTGAAGTTCGTATCAGTAACCAAATACAAGTATATATACAACCATCAAGTCTTTTATGAGTATTCTGATTTTGCAGACTGGTCAATAATTAGAAGTAAGAGTTTAAAAATTTAGGACTGGAACATAATTCCCTCAATAATTATGGACATGAGTGAAATATGTATTATTTATTAATTGACTGCAAATCAAGAATATTTCATTGCTGACTTACACTTACAGCCGCCTATTGACTTTGTATTAATACTAGTAGGCTTAAAGACATCAGAGGTCTCTGAATTTAAAATAGGTACCGATATTTAAATGGATACTGATACTATTTTATAGAGTGGTATCGATACCATGAAACATAGTGATGATATTGGTCAAGCTAGCCCAATAGTCTTTAACGACTAGTTTATTTAAAAATTATAAAGATAATATCGATACTCTTTAAAGGTGTACCGATACTCCCTGTCCTGAGCAGCTTTATTTTGCAGAAAAATAATCTCCAACGGCTCCAAAACATCCCCAACTACTAGAAACAACCACAAACTCATTCCAACTTATAAAAACAAGTTGATGACACCTGAATAAGAGTTAGAACATCTATACAAGCAATCAAACACAAGAGAAGAGATTTTTATTCTTATTTTTCTTTATCTTGTAAATATTAGTGTTTTAGTGAGCATAATTTTTGTAAACACCTACCTTGTAGGTTTTTCTTGTTTACATTTTTTATCCTTTGTAAAAGGGGTTGATTCTAGCTTAGCCTGTGAAAAGCTAGGGAGTTGTAAATGTTATCTTTTTATCATGCAAAAAAAAAAGAACAAATTAGTGAATTTGTTAGAAATTCCTTAGTGGAGAGCTAAGGTAGTGGATGTAGACTTAGTTGAAAAGTCGAACCACAATAAATTTATGTGTAAAATTGTCAATCTCTTTTTACTCCTTACTCCCTAAACTCAAAAAGTCAATCCACCCCCTCTTGGCAATATTCGGTTGTCATTTGAGTTTCATCGCAATCCCAACAATTGATATCAGAGCTTGAATCATTAGAAGGTCTAACAACCTTGAGATGATCCTTGAAGAAGCTCTATCCATTTCCGACACAACTGAAAAGATGGCTTCCACCTCCGGCTCGTTCTACATGGAAGACTCTCAACCGATCGACAAACCTCCATACTTCAATGGAGTCAACTATCGTCATTGGAAGAAATTAATGAAGTTATTCATCTAATCCAATGATCTTGATGCATGTGAGATGATCGAGGACAACTACTCTTCTCCAAAGAAGAAGACGAAGGAGTAGAGCGCCCTAGAACGAAAGAACGCAAAAGAAAAAAAAATGCCAAGGCCATGCACATGTAGTTTTGTGCATTTGGTCCCGATGTCTATAAAGGCGTTTCTTCTTGTTCAAATGCCAAGGAGCTTTAGAATAAGCTCGAAGAACTTCATGGTGACAAGAAAGAAGAACCACCAAAGGTAGTGTGCTTAATGGCTCTTAAAGAGCCCAAGCTATCTTCTAACTCAAATGAATTAAATTCATATTCTTTTGATGAGTTACAAGATGCTTATAATGAGTTGTATTTGAAATTTGCGATCATGAATTCCAAATATAAAAAATTAATTTCAAAATTTAAAGTTGAAAATGATTTGATTTTGAAAGCATAAATTGATTTGAAAATAAAAATAAATGATTTAGAAAATCTTTGGAAATAAAGATTTTGAAAAACAAAATGAAACTTTGAAAAATGATTTAGAGCTTTCAAAAATAAAAATAAATGATTTAGAAAAAGAAAATCTTGATTTGAAAGTTAAGCTCGCAAGTTTAACAAAAGAAAAATAACTAATTTCTTGAAACACCTCATTATGTTTAAAAATAACAAAATGCTCACATTGTCATTTTCATGGTCATTTGGAGCATACTTATCCTTTAAAGAAATGAAAACATTTTTAAAATTAAACAAGTATGAGTTCCAAAGGGAAAAAGGGGTATTGAAACTAATGTTCAAGATCCTAAGCAATTTGGATACCAAAACCCATTTAAATGTCTCTTGTACGCGTGTGGGAGCAATGGTGATGAAATTGAAGATATTCAAATGTTCTAGCCACACTTGAAAAGGAATGGGTAATCTCTAAGCTTATTTTGATTATCTTGCATAATTGGTTGCTCATTTAGTTTAAGCATGCATGAGTTTTTTATTTTAAATAATTTTATGTTTTTTTATCTCATGTATGTTGAAAAGTGTATTATGATGAACATTTAAAATTTTTAATGATTTTTCATAATTTTTTAGTTCATCATAATGAATTTTGGTCAAAATTGGTTTTAAATGCTTTGTTTTTACAAATTTTAATTTTTAACCTTAATTTAAATGTTTATGATGTGATTTGTTGCAAATGATATCTCTCTAACAATTGCTATCAATTTTTCAAATGCATAACATTGTTGGATAGCTTTATGCACATGCACTTAAATACAATAATTGGTATTACATAAAGTTTATTAGATTTTGATATATTGAATTTCATGTGCTTCTAACATGTTTGTTCGCCTTTATTGAAATTCAATGTCTTCTAAGTGTTAAGCTTTTAAAGTCAAATTTTCGTTTGGAATGCTTCTATTGAGTGAGAGCTTTGATTTTTCAAATGATTTTAATGTCAAATTTACCATTTTCTCTCCATTGTTATTTTTGAACTTTAAAGTTGAATTATTTTTTATATAACAAAAAGGGAATAAGTATATGTTTTGAAAAATTCAATTTCTCAATGAAAAAGGAGAGCTTTAATATTTTCTAAATATTTGTCGTTTTCATGAAATATTTTATTAAGGGGGAGTTTTGCCAAAAATAAAATTTCAAATGTTTTGTTATATCAAAAAGGGAGAGATTGTTGAACCATGTTTTATAATATTTTGATATAATAAATTAAGGCAAAATGTTTTTGGACTTGATTGAATTTGTTCAAAGTTTTAAAAAATAATTCAAAGTCCATTAAAATAGAATTTGAGCACAAAACGTTTTTCTGGGTACGTAGTACCGATACCAAAGGTAAGAGAAGTATTGATACTCTCAATGTAGTATCAATATTACCAGTTGTTTTCCAAATTGCTCAAATTTTAGAATGCAAAATAGGTATTGATACTCAAAAGGGTATCGATACTACTTTACATAGTGATATCAATATCATGAAGCATAGTACCGATAATGGTCAAGCATAACAGTCTTTAACGACTAGTTTATTTAAAAATTATAAAGGTAATATCGATACTAATTAAAGGAGTACCGATACTCCCTATCATGGCAATTTATTTTGCATAAAAATAATCCTTAATAGCTCCAAAACATCCCTAACGGCTCGAAACAGCCACAAACTCATTCCAACTTATAAAACCAAGTTGATGACACTTGAAGAAGGGTTAGAACACCTATCCAAGAAATCAAACACAAGAGAAGAGTTTTTCATTCTTATTTTCCTTTCTATTGTAAATATTAGCGTTTTAGTGAGCCTAATTTTTGTAAACACCTACCTTGTGAGGTTTTATTGTTTGCATCTTTATTCCTTTTTGTAAAGGGGATTGGTTCTAGTTTAGCATGTGAAAAGCTAGGGAGTTGTAAATGTTATCTCTTTATCCTACAAATTAGTGAATTTGCTAGAAAATCCTTAGTGATGAGGATGTAGACTTGGTTGAGAAGTCGAACCACTATAAATCCCTGTGCAAAATTGTCTATCTATTTTTACTTCTTACTCCCTAAACTCAAAAAGTCAATTCACCCCCTCTTGACAATATTCGGTTGTCATTTGAGTTTCATCGCAATCCCAACAATCTTAATTCACATTGGTGTCTCAGGGTGAACTTTTCCCCACATTTAAAGTAGAGATTATGAGTCCTATAATCTAATAAACTCTGGTTGTTATCAGCACTTAGAGTAGTGTTTTTCTTGGGAATAGGTGCAATATTCAAACATTTTTTTCATATTGTTTTGATTTAAATATAAAAAATTTCTGGCAGGCACCTTAAACTTCCTGTTTTCAATCTCATTGGCTAAATCATACAACTTGGCTTCTCTATATGCCTTTGAGAGTGTTTTAGGCTAAAGCACTCTGACATTATTTTTCAGTTTATCATTTAACCCGCTGATAAAGTTAAATACAAAGTAATTTTCTCCCAAGTAAGTGTTTTGAGGAAGCAGGAAAGGTCTTAACTCTTCAAATTTTTCTTGATACTCTTCTACGCTAGCCTTCTGCACCAACTTGTTAAACTCCTCAATAGAGTATGCATAGGTTCTATTCATAGAACATATGACATAAGTCAGTTTCAAATTCATGCCAGATAGCCCTGTTTTTTTTGCATCACATATCTATCGAACCACGTCTCAACTTTCCCAACTAGGTACATGACAACTATTTCCACCTTATGCTCTTCTGAAATACCAAACAAATTAAAATACTTCTATCACTTTCTAATCCACCCCTAGGGTTACTACTATCAAATACATGTAATTTTAACTTTGATCGGGGTATGACAACCCATGTACTGCCATAAAAGGTGTTAGAGACATTCTTGTTATCAAAATTTTCCTCATTTCTAGGATTGACCTCATTGGTACGGCCTATATTGTGTCCTATATATACAAGGGTGTTGAGTTCTAAAATTCCAAGGGTTTGGATGGTAGAATACCTGGTTCATTAGATTGACATGAGTACCTTTCTTTTTCTTCTATTAGTAAATTGTACAGGTTTTTTGTCACCTGCCTTAGTTGTAGTAGGTTCATTTACCTGATGGGTTTCCTTCTTTCCATTGTTGGGACTTACTTCTTCATATGCTTCATCCCCTTCATTGCTTCTTAGTATCTTCAAGATACTTGTCAAATATCCCCGCTGCTCTATAAATCTGGATTCCAAGTTAATCAACCTATCCTTCTTCTCTTCTCTTCACTTGGGAACCTTGGAATCATCCTTTAAGCCTTACAGTTGAGTCTGAATATCATTTGACATGTTTTTAGATGGCAGCTAAGGTTGCATCCTATGTCATGGTTTGAACTTTCTTCTATTTACTCCAATTTTTAATGGACAAGAACTAGGCTCTAATTACCAATTGTCACCTTTTTTGGATAAATTCTGGAATCCAGTTATGAATGCTAAAAGGATTTAAGAAAGAGACGAAGGTTTTGAGAATAAAAGAACTTCAATTTATTCCACAAAAAGAACTTTTGGTTCGATCATAAACAAAAACTCGATAAATTTAAAAGATTTGTTAAGGAAAATCTTTTGACCGACTGTTACATTTGTGTATTCTGTTGGCCTATATATAAATAACAATAAGATTGTAGGCTTGACACTAACATACGCAAAGGTCGGTATATAAACCTCAATGACAGGTAAAAAGAGTGATTTTATGTGGCGACAACTCCTTCCAAGTCCTTCCCAATTTACAATTCTTTCCCTCTTCTTGAATATTATTATTATTATCAGATGTCTCACCACCGACTACGATTCTTCGCCCAAGCCAACATAACTGTCTTGTTACCATCAACCCCCTTCAATTTCAAATGTTGTTGATTCTTCTACTGTCCTATTTTGTTGCCAAAGAAAAAGCCCGTTGAAGAGTGTGGGGATGGCATCGGAAGTTATAGTCAATCTCAATCTTTGGCGAGAAACAGCTCACAGAAAACCAGTGCAGGGTTTTAGAGAGTTGCAATGTGGAAGGATGAAAATCATTTTCAACCAAAACTTCCAGGAAAATCATACCTTGATTGATTGGCATGAAGGTGACTTTGGTTTCTCCAAATTTATTGGTCTTTCCCCCATATTATAAACATGTAAATTATGTTTATTAAGTCTGTAACTGACTGACACCAGTGCCAGTTTCCGAAAGAATTTGTTATGTTATTCAAGGTGTTAATGTGGTACGTGATATGTTAACAATTACACACATAAAAATATTATGTTAATAACATACGTTGGTTTTCATCCAACAATATCTATTTTAACAAAATCTAAAACGTTATAGGTCAAAATGCTCCAAAAATAAAAGAATAGGTGTTAAAGTGACCATTCTAATAAACGTTGGAGGCTAATTTTGATATTATGCTAGTTCAACGATGTTTTTCCATGGAAGAAACAGATCTTGAAAGCAAAGACTGATGCACATGGTTCAACCATCACACTAGTGAATTTGTCAAATTAGCTCTAATAATCACTTTGTCGCTCTTGCAGAACTAAGAAAGAAACTTGAAGGATTCAGGCATGTAAAGTTTTGCATCTCTTACGTGGATTTTTCTTTTGGTTAGTGGTAACTGTTTTCGAACTTTTCTTTTTCCTAAGCAAAGCTTCTAATTTGTAGTATTTTTCCATAATACTCCTCATGAAGCTGTATTTCAAGCATGGTTGGACTTGTTATATTTAAAGCTCCACTAACTAGAGATTAATGAATGGTATGCATCCATGTTTATCCGCCAAAGATTTTAGGTATTCATATTTGATGAATCATTGTCGATTGTGATGCTTTTGAAACAAAATAGATTTTAAGTATTCATATTTGATGAATCATTGTCAATTGTGATGCTTTTGAAACAAAATACAATGTTAATTTTTTATTTTTACAAGACTGATGAGTGAAAATTTTTAGTTTTACAAGACTAATGAGTGAAAATAGACTGAGATTAACGGCAAGAAATGAGAAAATATTCACTGTAAAGAAAACAAGGAGTTAATCTTAACTGTCTATTTTCAATCATCCAACGGTCTTAAATCTGTATAATACATTTTAATTTTAAATTGTGCAAGTAAATTATATATCTACATATACTGTGTGCGCCATTGTCTGTGGTATTCAATAAATAACAAGGTAAACAAAAAAAAATTGCAGCTTTAAGAATTGCATGAAGGATCCATGACCAAGAAGACAAACACCATTATCACAAAGAACCTGAGATTAATTACCTTCACAACTTGGTAATTGAATAAAGTTACACATTTCCACTGGAACTTGGGCCCAGGAAACAAAGAATTGAGGGCAAATACATCAAATTTATGAATGTGAAACAAAATTCAATTCTAGGAAATTTTTCTATAAATCAATCATGTTTCTTTGGGTTCAATAAAAATCAATGGGGCCTTCACTCCAATTCTACTGGTTTATTTCATCTGATGAGTTCTCGAGCTCATTGTTTACATGTCCTACGTCTATGCAGCATGTCTACCTACATGGTTGTTTCCCAAGCTTTCGGATTTATCCCACAATGACCCTTTCCGTTTCTGTTGTCTGAAGTACTTCTTACCCAGATCATACGAGGATTCTCTCATTTTTTTCAATGTCTGTTGGATGCTCGTACCTGAAATGTCCAACTCTCGGTGGTTTCCACCAGCCGTGCTTGGAATGCTTTCATCAGGGCAACTAGAGGCAGGTTGATGGTTGTCCTGTTGCCCTTCTTTTAAGTCGGCACTAATTCTGATGGAGTTCGCATCAGAATCAGGTTGTTGAGAGTCTGTCATCAGGGGGACATGGAGGTAGGGGAGGAAATGGGTGGAAAGGCATGCCAGGGGCTATCCTCCAAGTTTCTAGACTTTCACCTTGTGGTGATCCAAACTGCTGCAAAATGGGAAGTGGAATTCCAAATGAAACCGGCAAACGGGAAATGAATCTCTTATGTGGATGAGCAACAACAGCATCAGGAAACTTCGACGGACAAACTTTTGGTTGAGGGAAACCTGTAGCAGTTGATGGAGCAGCATAAGGTGCAGCCAAAGATGTATTGAGAGGAGATGAGAACCCTGGTGGAGCATCCTGCTGAAAACTTTGGTTCCCATTGTCAATGTTAATAGTTTCACCTTTGCAAAACTTTTCATGGCATTTGTTATCCCCACTGTTCATCTTCTCTGTATGATCTGATGTTGCTCGACCTAAAGTGGATAATGTGCTACATTCAAATTTCTTTGGTGACCGTGAATCAATTTTCTCTGGATCTGCTGGCTGATCCCAACGGCTTTTCCGCTTGCGAATTCTGGTACTACTGGTTTGGGAAATACCAGCTGATGGTGAAGAGCCACCCTCCTTGGTGGAAGTATCCGTTGATGTTCCACCCACAGATTGTTTGCCGCTATTAATTGCTTCAGTAGCTTGTACGGCCTGGTCATGCCAATGATTGTTAGATGCTGAAACCCTGTGAAACTCCATCCAGCCCTCCTCCTTGTCCCTGTAGCCATGCTTTCTGACAGGTTTCCGAATCCATTTATCACGAAAATTTCGAGCTATTTGATGGACCTGTAAGGTTTGACCAATAAGATACACAATTCATCCAAGAAAAAGCTATTAAGGAAAAAAATTTGTAGTCCACAGATAACAAGATAAAGAAGTTATACTATTAAGTAATTAACAAGAGGGAACGAAAAATTAAATGTCAGTTGATACCTGTTTGTCATCATGTTCTGTGAATGACAGTATCGACTCCCTAAAGCTGCATGAGAGAAGGCATAGATTCCATGTAAAGATATATAAAAGAAGAATAGTGTGTTTAATTAAACAAGACTCGGTCGTATCTGCTAACCTCTCCCTTCCAGCACAGTAAAGACCTCCATTAATATGCTCCTGAGTAAGTATTCCCCGTCCCGCCAAATACTCTAAAACCTGCAGAGGAAGTAAGTTGCAAGCTATAGTCTTATCATAACTTAAAAGTTCCATATACCAGCTTAAGAATGACAACTCTGTGCTGGACCTAAATGCAACCTTTTTGTATTGTCCTAAAAAAAATTAGATAACCAGATAATCATGCTTACACAGAGAGAGAGACACACACAAATACAAATATATATTTGATGAATCCTATACGATGCTTCAGCCATGAAATGCAGTGGCAGACTACACAAAAGGCATTCATATTGTTGCCCTCTGTTTGTTTCAATTTTTCTCCTACATAAAGAACCATGCCCTTGGGGATCACCATTTACCATCCTGAAAGACCAGCTTAAGTAATATCCACAAAAGACAATAATGCCTAAAGGTACACTAAAAAGACGATCTAACTGCACTGACACTTATTTAACCAGGCAGCAGCAGATTTTAATCATACAATTTAGAACTATAGGTGAACTGTCTATTGCCAAAACTATTTTCCCATTTTCCTTCAAAACAAACCTAAGCATACCATTTCATAAAGCAGTAAAATGCAGTTAATTCAAATCCTATTGTTGAATATAACTATTAAAAAAAGCACTTGGTCCATGATAATGAATGTCTTCCTCGATATTTAAAATTTTCCTGAAAATATGAAAAAAGTATATCTTTTCCACTACCATTCATAGTATGATGCACCTGATATTCCAAGAATTGAAACTATATATGACACGCGCATTCACAAATATCTCCAGAAATAACAATGCAATAACACATTTTCCACACTGTACCTTTAGAAGCTTCCGAAGAATTGGAATCTTTTTGAAGTCCCTTCTATATTTCTTCAATATGTTGTGTAGCATCTGCAAACCTGAAAACGAAATCAACAACCGTTTATTTGAAAGCCAACAGAGATGCAATTGCAACAAAAGTATTCATCATTGGATGCTGTGCAGAAAAAGATCGGAAGAATACCGTTCTTGTTAATTATATCGGTCAGCACATGTCCTGATTTTGTTTTCAAAAGTGCATCAAGAATCATTGAAAGCTCTCGATTGCTGCACAATAAGAAAGCTAGAATCAAAGATTGGAAACTTATACAGCATGAGCACAAAATATATTGTTTTAAAGCATCTAAATCAAGAGGAACTAAGTTAACCTTTGAATTGCTTCACCACTGCCACCATCACCAGAAGTAGCTGTGAGAAGTAGAAGCTTCAAGTAGCCTTTAGAAGCATCCTGTCACAAATCAGAATGTTCGATGAACATGATTAGGTATGAAGATCAGAAATAAAGAAGTATGATGCAACACACAAAAATCCACATACTCATCAAAATGTGTGTCATCTTAGCATGACTTGAACACAATGCCAAAGCACAGAAAAAGCTAGTTAAAAATGATGAAAAACAAAACAATTTTCTAATCTAAAACATAGTAAGTGCAAGACATTGAATCACTAACCTTTCGCTTTGTTATTCCCCCCTCAGAATCCAGCAACTCATTAAGTTTCTCCTCCACTGCAAGCATCCAGTTGCACGCATCAGTAAAAATAGAAAACTATAAAACGGCCTCATTTCAAAACAAGAGATTTCTTAACCTGCTTCAAAACGACCAGTACTAGAATTTTCTGAGAATTTTCTGGGCTTGATAGTCGACACTTGAGATTTGTTGGATGTTATCTGAACCTTATTTCCATTCAGAGAATTACTACTCGTTTTTCTCTTCTTAATAGAGCTGGATGACTGAGAATTCCTCATCAGGGTGCGTGATTTTGCAGGAACCTTTTTGTTTTCTGCTGTATCAGACTTAGACTTCTTATTAGCATCAATAATATCAGAAGATAATTTGTTATCTGACATATTTAGAGAAGCATCTAATTTCTGAATGGAACATGAGATTTTGTTGATAGCCTTCTGTTCCTCAGTACCATCTGGCTGCACAGCTTCACTGGAAACTGTCACAGGCAAAGCTTCTTCTGGCTGAATGGCTAATTGGAATTTCCCCTTCAGATCTTCAGTTTCAACTGAACTGTTCAATTGAGACGTGGCAGAAGCAGAATGGTTCACAGAGTCCTCAGCGTCTTGCATATTTTCGAACTTTACTGCACCATCAGTTATTACACTCTCCACAGATTGCATTGCTGCACCATCTAAGGAACTCAATCTAGACATAACACCTTTAGAAACAGTCCAGGTTTCACCATCTTCAAGCATCATAGGTTCAGGAGATTCTACATCTGAATCATCATGAACAATGACTTCAGCACTAAGTGAATCACCACCTATGTAACCCCGACAATGAGGTGAACCACAATGACATTTTTTTGCAGCAGCTCCAAAAACCCTCACATAATTGTAGTCAAATGTAACCTCCTCACCCTAACAAATATACCAAGCTTGTCAGATAAATTATAATAAGATTTCTCGTACATGTAACAGAAAGACGGCACACACACACACAGAGAGAGAGAGAGAGAGAGAGAGATCCATACATAAATACATATAAATATGCATGTGCAAATGTATGTCTGAGATTGCATAAAAACAATTTCTTCAAGGTCAGTCCATGTGCCCTAGGCCTATACCCTCCAAAACTTTTCTGCCTGGACATCAGATTCAGCTTGCTCCACTCTATCCTTAAGACTACTTTCTTGACTCTTGAGGTTTTACCCTCTGTTTTTGGTTTATCTAAATATCCAACAGAAAGAATGCTGTAAATGCAATAAATTATAGGACATTTGGGGGGTTCAAGAAATGATGCATGATACTCCGATGTATACCGATCAACTTATTAAGTATCTGTCTAGTTAAGAGTCTGTGGCTCTAGAATAGGCATTTTATCATTAATATTTGCATTCTGCCCTCCACCCAATAATTTAGCATGAACTAATCATAAATCTCAAAAAAAGGATGACCAACTAATATATGGCACAAATCTATAAACAGGGTTTGCAGAGGCCTCAGGAAGCAGGCTGAACAAAACTACATTTATGGGGTTTATGTTAAATCCCATTTTCCATCCAAAAAAAAAAAAAGAAAAGATTGGCATCAACGTCATACTCTGCAAACTCACCTTCTTTATATCTCTCAATGCAAATAGTCCAATACAAATTTCACCATTCACCATCCACTGATCATGAGAAAAACAATGGAAACAAGGTTAACTATATTTATACTCAGGAAACATAAACAAGAAAAACATCAAACTATGATTGACCAAATGACATATGCAGGCAAACACCAAGGTAGTTGGCCGTATCAGACAGAAAGGTACATAGGTCAGCATGGGTGAACGACAAACCAAGCAGGTAGTCTGACATTAATAGTTAACATATTGATACATTATTAATAACAAAAATTATGCATATTAACCTATAACAAAATTGTATGCTTTGTAGGAAAACTAGACTCCACTTTAGAGTTTATTATATATCTTAAGCTTTATACATACACACAAAAAAGAACACACATATACATATTCTGCTTCACTTCACTTAGGCTAGTGCTTTTTTTTTTTGCACCTTGAGCTCGATCCAATATAAGGGCTTAAGCGCTTTGAGCCCTTAACAACATTGAGGTGGAAAGGAGACATTCCACCAAGAGATTCTATCATTCAGCTCTCATCCTAATTACGGTAGCACACACATTATAAGAATCCTACTTAACTTAGTTTTATTGGAAAACAAATCATGTTTTCTTATTAACCAATATGATAACAAAAAACTCATAGGAACATTCACCTTTTCGGTACGACAATTTGGATCACAACTATGGTTGATGAAGCGCCCCAAATTACCTTTGACATATGCATCTATTACCTGGAAGAAAGGAAAATTACCCTTGAAACTGAACAATCAAAGTAGTAGATTGACAGAAAAAATATACAGCACAATAGATTTCATTGATAAACAGAAGAAACTGAGAAAACTAAATGAAAACATTATTCAGAATGGATGGATAATTACAAACATTGGGCTGCAGAAGCAAATAAAGTTTGAACTGAGAACCAGGGATTCAAATCGCGGTCACAGTCGCGTTTACCGCGATTGCGGCCATAGCGGGTATATCGGAAGGCAGCGCTACCGCTGTTTCGCGGGCGCTATCGCGGTCGCAGACCGCTATTTAAAATCCTGCTGAGAACGCAAAGCTAAAGCCTAAAGCAGTAAGTAAGCATCCTCTGTTTCTCCAGAGTAATTTCAGTGATAAAAACATTCACCATAAACAATAAATAAAATCTACTATGTAAATAAGTCATAAACTTGTGTTTCTAGCTATGTCCACAAACATGTAGTAAGCATTTAATAATGAAATAACAAAACCAAAGACAGGCAGGAGAAAGCTAAACTTTCTTCAATTGCTACAGCCTTTTGTACCATCAGTGATGTATTCTATTTAATAGCCGTAACTTGTGTAAAATACGTATTGTAAAGGATATTATCCAAACCTCACTGCCATTCAATGTCATGAAATAGAAATGCCTCTGACCCCTCAAAGCATACTCCTTTTGCCGAGCCTCATAAGCTTGCATACCAAGCACCTGATGAACCAAACAATTCAAATACCACCTATAGTTATACATACAAAAATAAAGTGTCCACAAATATACAATCATCATAATATATAGTCCCACTCAACATGAATTATGGATTATACAACAAAAAGCCTTCAACATGTATGAGTTTTCTTTTTTGGACAATAACAAATGCCGCTTTTGAATCTATAAAAACTTAGAGAAACTTTCAGATGAGTATTACAGGAATCAGTTAACTTGCTATTTGGATTTGAAAATGGCTTGCACAAATGCAAACAGTTAGCATGATAACATATGACTACAAAGGGATCCTAATAAGAACTAGAAACACCCAACTCTACCCTTCCTCTAAGATATGAATGCTTAATTTCAATTGAAGAATGTTGAAAAGAAACAAACTTTACTGATTTCAACAGTGCAGTGCATGCTGTTAGAATAAGCCGTGTAGAAGTCTTGTTTGTTTAGGTGCCTTTTATGATAAGAAAGGATAAGTCTTAGGAGTCTTTGTAATCCCTAGCTCTAGATAGAACTTTATCTTTAACAGAAAAGCCGTGTTACAAGTTAGCAACTCAGTTTATTTAAACTACTGTAATCTCCTAATTTCCTAAATTCAATAATCAAAATTCTCTTTCATTTCCTCTTTTATTCTTTTACTCTTCTTTAGTTTATTTTCTTAGATTATAACACATGAATTAAATAAACTAAATAACAAAGTTCACCCATGACACGGCAGAACAATGCCTTAAGCATATACTTATTCAACAAATTCATTTGACAATACGTTAGGTGCTTTTACCTGAACAGTTTAGTAAGGGGTGGAAGCCTCAACAACAGTGTTCAGTATGACTGGTTTACTTTAAAGTCCCATTTACTTAAACAATCATAAAAATCAAATCTAAAGAGCCATACCATGATTCCACTATAATTTCAACAAGTCTGTCATGATCAAAAAAGCATAAAGTACAAGAAAACAAATCATATATTACCTCTCCAACATATTCAATAAGGAAATGGCCAGCAGATATATTCTCTAGCATCCTCAATCCAAAACCCTTCTTACCAAATCTGTCCCACTTCATCTTTGCATATTTGTGCTTCTGGAACTGCAAAAATAGACATTTGGAATAAAATAACATTCTCTTCAAAAAAGCCCTCTTAGAAGTTAGAAACACACACAACAGAACATAGACTGCATATTTATTGTACGTTTTCATATACTAAAAACAGTGAAGAACCTGTTGATTTGAACAGAGGTCCCCACAAGGACAGGTGCCTTGGACACATTCAATGTTCAGCATCCGATTTAGGCATTCATCCCCACAACCAAGCTTCCCGGCCGGAGGTCTTTCGCACTGGCAAACCATTACCTGCTTAAAACGACTGAAATATTAATAATTTGGGGGGGGGGGGGAGCTCAAAACAGAATAACCACTTTTTTCCGGTTCAACTAAAGTGTATATTATATGCTAATATTTGTGATCCACTGAGAAAATTAAAGCAACGAAATAAAGGAATCAGCCAGTTTAACCTATAAAGTGTATTATCCAATAGATGGGATCAAATTCTACCTTCAACAAGGAATTAGGAGAGGGTATTAAGTCAAAAACTCTAACCTTATTTGTGTAGTCTAGAGTCTAGACCTAGAGCCCTACACATTAACAAGAATAACTAAAGAAGGTGCCAAGGTAATTGAAAATACTAAATACTTCCCAAATCCCAACACAACACCCTACCCCTAAAGTAAGAAGAAGAAGCAATAAAGAATTCCACCCATCATGAATACATATGCCGACACTGAACTCATGATAATTCTAATAATAAAAACTACATTACATAATCACATGAATTCATCGGGTCAACATAAAATCTATAGGAAGGAAAAGGTGGAAATGAACAAGATTTACAAGACCTGAAAAGATTAATAAGCTTGCTCTCCCAGATAAACTTATAGTGCCTCTAGTAATTATTACCATTACAACAAGAAGGAATGAGTATAGTAAGAAAATGAAAATTCAACTGCAGACAAAATAGCATGCAAACATATAATGAAATCAAGTGAGGTTCAGAATCAAACCTCATCAATGGTTTGCGTTTTTCGGCCACGGTGCAAAAATTGGTTACTATCAAGACGCCAAAAATGTGAAGGTGCTGATACTGCAATAAATTGGAAAGTGAATATGGAAGGAAGATCAAACAGGAAAGGCTTAAGGACTACTTTTGGCCTATAGTAGACTCAATTTATCATTTTCGCCCCTATAGTTTTTCCCCATCAATTTAGCCCTCAAAGTTGTTTAGGGGCATCATCCTAGCCCTCAAAGTCCGTTTTGACAAATAGAACCGTTAGTCTTCTGCGCTTATCGACCACATCAGCCAATATAGTTGATGTGGCTTGATGATGACGTGACATTTATTAAAAAAAATAAATAATAAAATATTTAAAATATTTACAAAATACAACGGTTAGAAAAATTTCCCAATAATTTGACCTAATCCCTTAATCTCACTGAAATAAATTATAAAATTTTGGGAATTTTTCTAATCGTTGTGTTTAGAAATTTTTTAACCTAATCCCTTAATCCAAAGATGTAGAAGACTCACAATTCTTTTAGACAAAATGGTTAACGGACTTTGAGGGTTAGGTTGATGTCCCTAAACAACTTCGAGGGCTAAATTGATGCAAAAAAAAAACATACGGTCGAAAATGATAAATTTGGTTTACTACATGGGCAAAAGTAGCCCTTAAGCCAAAAGGAAAGAAGAGCGCAAAAAGACAGTCATCATACTAAAACAACATCTCTGTCTACAATTCATTCATGCAGTTTGGCCATAAATAGCAAACATCATACCTGTCATACATTTAGCTTCAATACCCTTTTTCCAATTCCTTATGATTGAAGCCATAAAAACCATCTTCCTCAGCATCTGATATGCCCAACTCAGTATTAATATCAGCATTGGACTTCTCTTGTGGGATTGAGCAATCAGAAAATGCTTTATCCACGTTGTCGACACAGACCCTTCCACGTAAATGACAAAACAGAATTAATATTAGGTATCAGACTGTCTAAGCTTACGAAAAGATACAAAATAAGAACACACCTGAAATGGAGAACATATTATACACTATATCTCAACCAAAAGAGAACATTTGATCAGATAGTAAGATGCCATGGTTTATGAAGATTGTAATCATTAGAAGAACAGCCAAATAAATTTGCACAAGTTGGGTATTGCTTTATGCTCAGGTGAAACACAACAAACAATTAGCAATATACTACAATAAATCTTGTACATATACATTCAGAAGGCCAAGCAATCCTGAAATATAAAGAAGACTTCCTTGGATAAAAAGGACTTAAGAGAGAAGATAAACAATATCCTTCTCATACAGCTTCCACCATGAAAACTTTTAAAGGAATTGAAAAATCCAGTGAGAGGGCAATTGCTTCGATAGAAAAGTAGTTCAAAATAAAATCCGACTGCATAGGGACCAGAACTCCAAACTTCCAAAGCCATGAATGGTATGGTTCTTATATTTCATTTTACTTCTAAAAAAATTAATAATAAATAACAATGCATCAGCCATAAATTTTAAAATCATCCTGATTTTAGCTCAATTAAAATGTGACTTAGAGTACTGGCAGTAATATGCAACAGTTAGAACCTAGAATCTTCTGTGAAAGAAAATAAGATGGCAGTCATTTTCCATAAATTCACTAAACTTGGGAACAAAACAGCCTCCAAAACCAACTCCGAACCATGATGGAATCAAGATTCCAGTCCAAATTACATCGATACCACTAGGCTGAGAAAAGCATAAACCAACCAAACAAAATTCGCAGGATCCATAGGTAAACCACACTTATGATCATTGCAGTTCATAAGATATGTGGATAATAGCTAAACAAACAATCCTTCCCGTATCAGATATGTATTATGTGTTTGGACAAGCAGTTGACTATTCTCAAACATTTGAGAGCTAACCAAACAAACATGGAAAAACCAGTATTTAATAAATAATTTACATAAATTGCAGTCTAAGATGATAAAGAGATGTATTAAATGATAGATACCAACGGCATGCCTCATCGATTGACTTTACAAGTGAAACTGGTATCCTCCGCCATTTATGACAATCATCACAACGCACCCAAGCATTATCAGGCAGTGTAGACTGCTGCATGACACAATTTGGTAGCAAGTCAACATTATACAAATCTGCATGCACAATATTGTTGCCAGTATTTGAGTCCTTATTATCATCTGAAATCTGATTTCCTGCAGCACCAACTATTACAAAAATAATTAAAACAGTCTCCAACTTCTATTATGAATCAATTTATCCCAATGGCACGGAATAAGAATGACAACTGATATGTGAAAATTGTAGAATAGATTAATAATAATAATTCTATCAGGAAAGGAAGTTCCAGTACCTGTGACTAGGCTCTTTCCTCCCCCGGTTACAATCTCTTCATCATAACCTTTCTCCTTTACTTTGCTGTTACTAACTGTCTTCGACTCATCTTCCCTCCTCTTAGAAGAACTTCCTTTCCTGCTCCTTGCAAAATCAGAGATTCTGGACTTTCCCTTGCTCACTCCCTGAGATTTTGAACTTTTGGAAAATTGATTACGCTTGTGATTAGAGGAAGAGATATGTTTATGGTTCTTTGCATCTGGAACATCGGGACTGAAACAACCTTTATCCATACTTTCTGACATTTCTGTAACCTCTTTGGGGACTCCAAGCTCGTTCTCTGTTGAAGCATTTGCAGCAAAGGATGAAATAAGAGCCTTGCAGGAGACAAACCCATTATCCATTGTTTTTTGCCCACCTCGGCGACTCTTTGATGATTTAGCTTTCCTGATGCTGTCTGCACCGGAAGATTTATAATTTTCCTTTTTCTTCCCCCTCTTGCTACCCTTACTACTCTTAACAGCTCCAGAAGTATTCAAAGCCATATCATTTGACTTTTCTTGGTGTATTAAACCAACTTGTAAATCAGGAATTGTATTGATCACTTCTGAATCTGGTGAAGTTCCAGGATCCATGCACTTGTTCTCTATTGCTTCTTGAGATGCTTCACCCACTGGATCAGACTGATTTACAAGGGAAATATCAACAGCATATTCAGCAAACTTCTCAACATCTTCAGCACTCCTTACAACCTTATTTGCTTGTTTTATTTCCGTAATAAAAGCATCTGAGCATGTTTTCACAATTTCCCGGTTTTCCTTAGAATGAAACTGCATTTCACTACCCGGTTCTCCTGCTTTATCTTCAACAACATTTTCCTTCCCATAATTACTAAAAGCACCAACAGAAACTGACGGACCAACCACTTTTGCAACCAAAGTATTCAGATTACTCGGAGCAACTTCCTTGCCCACTTTAATCTTCAGACGTAAGCATCCAGTTGAACTTTTACTTATCCCACTTTTTTCATTTCTTTTTCGACCAGCCCGGTTTTTGTTACGTTTCCGGCTACCCCTACCTTTGGAAGGTTCTTGATTCTGCATTCCATTACACAAAAGATCAGGACATGGCTCAAGAAATTTTGTAATATTATTGAGCAATCCCCAAATGGAAGAACGGGCTGGTTTTGACAAACAGCTTCTCTTCCTTCTTGAAGCTTTGAAATGGAATTCAACATTTTCATGCGCAAGTTGCAGTTTTTTGCTACTGCAGTTTCTAGCAACCCTTTTTGCAGGAGCCTTTCGGCTTGATTTACTTTTCTGTCTTCTCCTTCGAGAACATGAGGATGCAGTTGGACAATTTTTAGTTTCTGAAACACAATCAACCTTGACAATATCCTTTCTTTCATTTTCTCTTTGTCCAAAACAATCAATTGAACTGCTAGAGCTAATTGCAGCACAAGCCTCCTTTGTCAAAAGATCTGGTGTATCCAACCTCCCAGCCAAGCCATTTTCACCAACTTCAATGCATTGACATGACAAAGAAATTGATTTATTAGAAAGACAGTTTGCACCTTGCTCAAAAGAACCCCTGTTCAAGTTGTAGGCCTTTCCGTTAGAAATTATTGTTTCACTGGATGTCTCAACCCTTGTACCTGTAGGGACATCAGTCCCCTCAGAAGCCTCCGCAACACAATCTCTTGATGGACTATTAACATTCTTACAATCAGTTTGTTCATTCTGTTGTGTGTCCAATGATATGCTTGAAGCCAACAACTCAATGCATAAATCATCATTACTTCTAATTTCCATAGGTTTGGTAGAACCTTCCAATGATATATCACTGCTACTCAAATCTCTCCGGTTATGCCAGTCATAACTACCCAATGAATCACATGTTCGTTGTAAGTTGGAAATTGTCTCAGCACAACATGAAGTCGATATCTTGCTGCACAAATCATATTCTATAATGGGTGAAGCACCACTTTCCCCATTGGGTGAAGCACCACTTTCCCCATTTAGAGAAGGACCAGTGATAGTGTTACTATCCTTCAGGTCATGTTGATCGGGACAATCACTCTTGCAACCACTAAAGGCTATTGATAATGGAACCAAGTTACTACCCTGAATAGATGGCATTTGGTTGCAAATATTAGTCTCAATGTCAGTTAATATCTCTCGATTTTCTTCCATGGCTACTTCCAAAGAGGAACAGTAGGTACTTGTATCATCGTTACTCCTATGTTCACCAGTTGCATCCATTAAGTCAAAGGGCACTTCAAAATTCTGTGAAGGCAATATTTGGTTCAGAACATCAGTCCCTTGACTCTTTACCGAATAATTTTTCTCTTTACACTTCTCTTCCCTATATTCCACAGTCCCCTGCAGAATAGAACCATTAACTCTCTCATCATCCTTTTGATTATCCTGTATAATGGAATTTATAGGTGAAGCGGACACAGTGTTTAGTTCTGATGGCATTTTGCCACCCCGTGATACGTCAGTTACTGAGTCAAGATAATCAACTACACCCTGATTATCAGTCAAACAAATCACACCTTGATTATTGCCCTTACATTCTTCTATCATCAAGCCAACCATATTTTCATCATTGCCACTACTCAAAGAAGCAGTGTTCTCATCCTGAGACAAGCCTAATGATCCATCCATAGCAGTTGTACCATCCACTCCAGAAGATCCACTCTTTGCCAAGCACATATCAGTTTTTGATTCATGAACATCAATGTTACCCTCATTTTCATTCAAACAAACCCCATGCTCACTGATCCTATCACCCTTCAGTTCATTTGAACCAGAATCTACATTTTCACACTGAATTTCATTCGAACAACCCGTACTATCAACATAACCCGTTAATTTCTCTGGCCCAGAACAATCTATATTTTCAACTTGATTATCATTTAAACAAACCACAGTATCACCACAAATATCACCAATCAATTCCTTTGATCCAGAACCATCTAAATTCTCACTCTGATTTCCATTGGAACAAACTGTACTATCACCATATGTATCAGGCCTCAACTTCTTTGTAAAAGAAACATCCACTTTCCCGTCTTGATTTTCAATTGAGTAATCAGAATCATTCACACTTTCGCCCTTATCTTCCAAACAAACCACAGTATCACCATTTCTATTACCCATCATTTCCTTCAAACTATAATCATCTACAAGCTCACCCTGATTATTTCTCACACAAACCAAACTATCACTGCACATATAACTCGTCAATTCTTTTAAACAAGAGGCATCAGCTTTTTCACCCCCATTTTTCTTCAAACAGACCGAGTTTTCACAACATTCACCGGCCATCAGTTCCTTCATTCCAGAACCATCCAATTGGACCTCACACTTTATTCCAACTCTGCAATCAATATCCCCAGAGCTTCTGCAACCAGTGTTATCATCTTCACCCGGTTGAGTGGCACAATCCCTGATAGAATCAATCACAACACAATCCCGTTGCTCAGAGACAAGTTTCTCCATTGACTCATAGCAGCAATGTTGCTCCGCACCGGAACCTTCAAGCGAAGGCTCGTTAAGCAAAGTCACCCTCCCAAACGAACCCATCGCAATTGTTTCCAAACAAATTATCATCAATGCAGCAAACCCATTACTCCAAACCTACATAAGAACTGAAAAAAAAAGGAAAAAAGAAAATTTACCCAATCATTAAAATCAAGCTTATCCCTTTACTAATATAGTGCACCCTCAAATTTACCGCCAACGAATCCCTAGCCCCCTATAATCACTCCGTTTCCCATAAAACCTTAATAAAATAAATAAATAAATAAAAACATACCTTGTCAAAGTTCTCTCTGAGAAGAACCCCGGAGAAAACCCTAGAATCCTTTTTCTCTACACAATCCAAAACCCTACATCTAAGAGTCTAAACACTAATGCATATAGGAAAACAAACATAATTTAAAAACAGGGATAATACATGGAAATAATTAACCACGAAGAAAAAAATTTAACAAAAAAAGTGAAGAAAAGCATTATACTTTGTTAGAGAGAGGAGAAATCAGGCCGTTGAAGAAAGGGATAAAAAAGTCCTTTTCATATTTTTATTTTTATTAAAATAGTGGATTTTTTTAATAAACCTGTTTGGGGGAAAGGAATATGAGAGAGAGAATAAGAGAATGAAAAAGGAAGAACAGAAGGAAAGAAGGGAGATAGATGAAAATATCAATTTTGACCTTTTTAATTTCGACAATGATGCTCTTTGTTTACCCATTTGACACGTGTGTTCCTTATGGGTACTGTTGTCATTTAATCATAGAATTTCGTCTTTCATTTATATGTAAATGTGTTGACATGAAAATAGTCTTTCATTTAAGACTACCACCACTTAAGTGGTGTTTATTTTTTACAGAGGTAAAAAGTTTGTAGTCTGCGTATTATATTTATAGGTATTTACAAGCATCTACAGTAGAAAAGGTGGACCAAAAGTCTGCAGTCTGCAAGAAGAATACTGTTTATTTTTTAAGTCTGTAGACTGCTAAAATGAACTGAAATATAAATAAACTGATTTTTTAAACTTAAAAGAGTTTTGTAATACTGAGATTTAAATAATTTTAGTTTTACAATACTGAAATTTAAAATAAATTATTTAAAATAAATCAATCCATACAACTACAATAATAAATCAATCCATATTTTAAAATAAATCAATCTATACAGATAAATTATTTAAAATAAATCAATCTATACTAATAAATTATTTAAAATAAATCAATCAATATTTTAAAATAAATCAATCCATACTAATAAATTATTTAAAATAAATCAATCCATATTTTAAAATAAATCAATCTATACTAATAAATTATTTAAAATAAATTAATCCATACAACTACAATAATAAATCAATCTATATTTTAAAATAAATCAATCTATACAAATAAATTATTTAAAATAAATCAATTCATACTAATAAATTATTTAAAATAAATCAATCCATATTTTAAAATAAATTAATTCATATTTTAAAATAAATCAATCCATATTTTAAAATAATATATTTTAAAATAAATTATTTTATAATAAATTATTTTAAAATAAATTATTTTAAAATAAATTATTTTATAATAAATTATTTTATAATAAATTATTTTATAATAAATTGTTTTAAAATAAATTATTTTATAATAAATTATTTGAAAATAAATTATTTTATAATAAATTATTTTAAAATAAATTATTTTAAAATAAATAACCTTATTAAATTATTTAAAATTATTTTAATAAATAACTATATTTTTTAATTGTTCTTGAAGAGGTTTGAAGACCTTTGAAGACATAAAACCAAGTTTGCACCAAGAAGAGCTCGCGCAGACGTTTGAAGAGCTTCTGTCTTCTAAAAAAACAATCTGCGAAACCTAATATATGCGCGACGCAGACATAAGTGGTTTGAAGAACTTGCACAGTAAAAACAAACATCACCTTAATGTAGGAGTAGCTGTAATTGATTTGAATATGATATACATAATATGCTAATTTAGATATAAAAATAATGTAATAAATAAGATTAATATGTTTTTATAATACTAAAAAACATTTAAATGAAACTATGAAGTATTTTGCTTATCTAATTTTCACACATCCACCTAAAAAAACACTCGGATATGAATTCATTAAGTAGTTTCAGTGATTAAATAAAATATTGTTCTCTTTAGAAGTCTTGAGTTTAAGCAACTATGTCTATTGATATGTGTACGTTGTCAATAACTAAAAAAAATTATTAACAGGGGTAATCGTCTCTGCCTAGATCCATCTTTTATGGTAGTGGTGTTTGATGTCGGTTAACCATACTATTAAACAATCTGGTTAATCATTATAACAATTACTGCATTTTATTAACTATTCAATGATTCAGTTACACAAATTAATCTGTAACCTATTATAAATTTCTTTTTCACATTTTTATTCCTTAATTTTAAAAAAATACATATTAATATTATATATTACTTAATACATCTACATAATAAATTTGCATACTTTTATATATATTTTTTCGTACAAAAAGTTAAAAAGAAACGACTACGTTTTGGATTACACTATTAGGGTTTCTTTCCCTCTTATCTTCTTCGATCAGTTGAATTTCGATATATGGCTCTTTCCATCTATTAACTCCCTCGTTCACACTTAATGCGATTTCGGCCAGACGATCAGCGCAAGCATTTGCTTCTCTCAAGATACGAGACACTTCTCTGACATCTAATTCTTTCATGAGGTCCATGCACTCTCTCACCAAGGTTTTCTGTTGCAGGTCTTCGATCATCGATTCATCTCCGTTAATGGTTTCAGTGACTTCCAAGGCATCAGATTCCACTCGTAAGTTTTCTAAACTCGGATCCTTCGCTATTAACAAGCCTTGTTTGATTCCCCAAATCTCGGCTGTAGTATTGTTGCCCTTACCGAAATTTGCTGTATAACTGCAGATTCAACATCCTTTGTAATAGCTGAAGAGGCCTCCAGCCGCTACGGTGCCTGAAGAGTTTCTGCATGCTCCATCGGAGTTTAAGGTGAGGGAACCTTTAGATGGTTTGATCCATCTAACCTATCTGGGTTCTCTGGTATACTCTTCTTTCTTTTTCTCATATGCTTTCTTTAGATCTAGGGTTACATTGCAGCCATATCAAAAGATATGGTTTGGGTTCCTGGTTATATTTTTAAAGATCGCTTCATTCCTCTCCTTCCAAATACCCCATATTGTGGTGGAGAACACGAAATCCCATCCTATTCCTTCTGTGTTTGATTTCTTCGAAACACTATTCTTTTGATCCAACTAATAATATCTGTAGCATCAATTAATTTCATTTTTGTAGTAACGCTCCACATCTTCCCAAGTAGATTTTGTTGTTTTACCAAGACGCCCTGTCATTCTTTACATTTCGCATCTGTCGTCATCTTTTTCTTCCAATGAATTTCATTTGTGTTTAACCTGTTCAAGCATCATAACCATATGAAAAATCTGATGTGCTCAGTAGTATTTATCCTCCAAATCCATCCAAAATTATTGTTATTTCCCTCTTCTTCACTTCTGTTCACAATGTTTTTGAAGGCAGTTCTAACAGAGAATTTACCATCTTTAATGAACCCCGTTAGCCGTCTTTGTATCAGATTATTCCTCAGAATCTGAATTTCTTATATCTGATTCAGTGTCTCAACAGAAATCATATTTCTAACTTACTGCATATCTCATTCCTGATAAGGAGATATGTAATGAGCAACCTTCTCGACTTTATAGGAGGTATTGAGATTTAAAATTGCTTTCCAAGAGGCTCCTTTCCTACTCACCAGTCGTGCCAAAAGCTGACCTGTTCGTCCGTGTTAATTTTCCATCTGCAACCTTTCTTGATGATGAATCGAGTTTTCAATAATTCCTTCCAAGTAGATGAATTATAGTTCTTAGCTTTGCACTCCATAAAGGAAGTCTGTTTTAGGTACTTTTCACACAAAAAATTTACATCAAAAAGAGTCTTGTTCTGAAAAAAGACGCCAACCATTCTTACCAAGCAACGCTAAATTCATATCTCTCGCTTTTCAAAAGCCCAAACCTCCTGCTTTCTTTCCTTTGCACACTTCGTTCCAATTCACCAAGTGGTTATGTTTGTAATCGATTTCACCTCCCCATAGGAAATTCCTATTAAGCTTATCAAGCTGATTCCAAACCGTCGTGGGAAGAAGGGTCGTTTCCATTGTGTGGACAGGGATGCCTGCTGTTACCGTCTGAATCAAAGTACGTCTCCCTGCCATGGAACCGGCTAGTTTATCCATAACCTTTTCCAATATGTGAGAGTAAGTGTTTGGGTTGTGGTGGTTATGGATAATAGCCACTCCCAAGTACGTTCCAAGGTCTGTAGTGAGAGAAATTCCACTCAGCGAGCTTAAGTAATCCACTGTGTCTTGACTTATATTGGGCGAGATGAACATTTTGGATTTCTGTAAGTTAATCGAAAGACCCGAAGCTTTGCTGAACATGTTGAGACATTCCTTGGCTCTACTAACTTGCAATGCATTTGCTTCCTTGAATAAAAGAATGTCATCTGCAAAAAAATAGATGACTACCATCAGTGCCTCTTCTTGTTAACTTTAAACCTTTCCAATCCCCATTATCAACTTCTTCAAGAATAACGTGAGATAATCTTTCCATAACTCAAATGAATAGATAAGCTTTCATCATGGAATAATTTAAGCACATATCGATTAGTAATAGTCCAAAACGCCATCAAAAATTTAAAAATAAATCTTTAGTAAATATAAAATAAACATGATAACTCAAAGTCTCTTCATGTACAAAATGAACAAATACGCTAATAATGGGTCTCAATGTCTTATTCCTCTTTCCACAAAGCATGCATAGATGCATAACTAATACAATGCATAATAATTCTAACCAACAAAATTGAAATACTTATATTGATTAATGTGTCTTCTATAAACATTCATTATAATTTTTATTTTATTTTTTTGCATAGAATGAATGACTTTCCGTACTAAATTAATATTATCGTGGGAATGATTTTAGTCTACTAATAATTATCTTGGCTATAATTTTGTATAAAATCATACATAAGCTGATCATACGAAATTGAATGAAATAATCTGGAGGGCCAACCTTTGGTAAAAGGACGATAAGAGTTTAATTAGTTTGACATGTACAAGCTCACCACCAAATACATGTCGAACAAATTTGTGCACAATTTTGCCAATAATGTCTCTATTATTTTACCAGTGATAACGCTAGTTACCTATCTTTACTCATATTTGAAAAATTAAAATATTATATATATAATTAAAAAAACTGTAAAAGTCAAAAAAATGAAAAATTGAAGGATTGTTATAAATATATTAAATTTTCAGTCAATAAATTTATTTTGATATAAAAAA